CCCCCCCCCCCCCCCCCCCCCCCCCCCCCCCCCTCTCCCCCCCCCCGGGCAGCCTCGCTCTACACCAGCAGCACCCAGCGCTCACGGTCCAATTCCTTCGGCGAGCGCCTGAGCGGCGGGGGTGCCAGGAGAGTCCGCGCCCTAGTCTCCCACTCGGAGGGTGCCAACCACACGCTGCTGCGCTTCTCGGCTGGAGACGTCGTTGAAGTGCTGGTGCCCGAAGCTCAGAATGGCTGGCTCTACGGCAAGCTGGAGGGCTCGTCCGCGTGAGTGGAACCCCAGGGTCCGCGCTCCACCGAGATTTCCAGGCCTCCCTGGCCTCTTCTCCAATCCCCGCCCTGCCTCCATCTACTCAGCCACTCCTGGGGTTAAGAAGAGCCTTGGAGAAGGGGACAGATGGGATGGGCAACAGGCTCTCAGAAACCTGGCCAAACCCTACTTTCTGTGCGCGCTCTTGTGCTGGAGCTGAGGTGCAGGGAAGGGCCCTCTCTGCAGGCATTGCACAGTTGACAGCCCGAAGAACTTACACGAGCTGTTTGTCCTGTACCCTAGTGTGGAGGGGGGAGAGCCACACACCCCTCCGTGTCCACACAAATGGGACTGGTGGTCCTCTAGGGAGTGTGCAAGGCTCTGGACTCTGCAGGAGGGGACAGAGTGTGGCTCAGCCTGCGACTCTCCCAGGACTTACAGGAAGACATAGATAGAAATCAATATGTGAACTCTGAAGGGCCAAGAGGTGACAGCTGGGAGCACTCCCACAGAACACTGGGGGAGGGGGTGAATGACAGGTTGTGAGTGGAGTTGTGGAGGGGTCCAGGTGGAAATATGTGGGAGTAGAAGACAGGAGAACTGGGTGGAAGAGACTGAGTAGGATGTGGGGTATGAGCACCTGTATGTACTGAGGGGAACTCATGGGCGACCAGAGGAGGCCTGTGGGTGACTGCCCAGGTGAATGATGGGTGGGTGAGCAGAGGTGGGCCTGAGGGAGCTAATGTGACTTCTAGTTAAGGTGTAAGTTGGCGGATTGGTGCCCTGTGGGCCAGGAGCAGAGGTGACCGCCAGCTCCTGCCATTCAGAGCCACATCACACCACAAACGGCTTTCAGAGCCTCGACCCAAAGCCTACTGGATACCAGCAGGGTGGAGGTCGGGAAAAGGGTCTCCTCCCTGGGTGTGGATGGTTACATTAGCCACTTTTAGATGAGGGGTACTCTTTGGAAAATATTCTCGCAGTATCTGCTGCCCAGCCCCATGGGCTTCCTGAAAGATTAAGGGGTACCAAGTCTGGTGGCTAGGGACACTCATAACTATGCCACTCACTACGCCAACTCCAAACTGGCACTGAACACTGTGACGTGGAGATGTGACCTGAGGGCCTGAACAGCCTGCTCGCCAACTTAGATGCCAGCTCCTCTTCTAGGATCCTCAGTCCCTGCTGGGATGAGGCTCTGTTAGGTCTTGACTGCCAGGAAAGCCATGTTGGGTGGGGGGGGGGGCAACCCAGGCCCCTGTCTGAGTCTGAGATGCCTTCAGAGCCCAGAATGGCTGCCACCCTGCTTACTTGGCCATGCTCAAGCGGCCATTGCTGTCTGCCCTACAGGAGTGGCTGGTTCCCTGAGGCCTATGTGAAACCTTTGGAGGAGATGCCAGTGAATCCCATGAAGCCTGTGACCCCCATGAACTCCATGGCCCCCATGAGCCCAATGAATGAGCTGCCTTCCAGGTACCTTAGTTGGTGGGGTGGGACCCCAAGGGTGTTCCTGTCCCTCCCTCCAGGGGACATCTATGAGATAATCTATCTCATGGGTCTATCCTCTTTGGCCTCTGGAGAGCTGTGGCCCAGATTTCCCACCTCCTAATGAAGGCTATTGTGTGCCTTGGCTCCTTCAACAGTTCTTCCCCCCCCCAACCCCGCCCAGCCTTAGGCCCAGCAGGTGGGAGGGGGCACCAGGCCGGCCTGCTCTCTCTAACTCAGGTCCTACCCCCTCCGGGGAAGCCACAGCCTTGATGACCTCTTGGACAGGCCAGGCAATCCTGCAGCCTCATCAGACTACTGGGATAGCAATTCCCGCTCCAGGACCCCGAGCCGCGTCCCCAGCCGTGCCCCCAGCCCCGCACCCACACCCTTGCCCAGCAGCAGGCGGAGCAGTGTGGGCAGCATGGGGGCAGCCACCGACGTCAAGGTCAGCCCACCTGTCCTCTGCCTGGCCGATATGGAGTAGCCCAGCAAGGGAGACCTTGGCCACTCTTCTGCCGGGGATGGGAGGTGGGGGTGGTGGTGAAGGAGTGAGCACGGGGTCACTGGCCTTACCTCGCAGGGGCAGTCAGCCCCAGCCCGTGGCGTTGTGCGAAGCCTAGAGTTTTCTTTGAAACCAGACTTCGGGCTGCACAGTGTCCTCAAATCTAGCCCTGCAGGGCCTCTACCTCCCAGTCCTGTGTTCTCCTGGGGTGAGGGGTGGGACCCCATCTTCCCTTCGCCCCTGAACCTGCCCTCCCTTCGTGCAGAAACTTATGTCCTGGGAACACCAACCCCCAGAGCTCTTTCCACGGTGAGTCCCAGTGGGCAGGAAGCCAAATGGGAGCGGGTGACTCGGAACGGGAGGGTGGCAAGAAGCAGACGCTTGGCCAGATGCCTGGCCACTCTCCCTAGGAACACAGACTGGGAGTCTCTGCCCCCCTCACCCAAGCCTATCCCCCACAGGGGTACAAATCCCTTTGCCACCGTGAAGCTGCGCCCCACTGTCACCAACGACCGCTCAGCACCCTTCATCCGCTGAGACCATGTCCTCCACCGGGGCCTGAGGTGGCTCTGCACATCTGCCCAGGGCTCTTCCAGCTGACCGCCGCAGCAGTGGATTCAAGATGCCAGGCGCTACCCAGGGGACCATCCTTACCCCTCTGCCCGCAGCCCAGAAACTCCCTGAGGGCTGGGCCTGCAACATAGGGCAGGGTGAAGGGGTGGGGGCTCGGAGCAGCTCGTTGCTTTCAGGGATCCCAAGACTCTTCCCAGAACCCAGCCTCTTGCCTCCCATCTTCTTCCCGCCTGTGCCCCAAAGGGAAACACCTTCTCTTCCACCCCTGTCCCACACACATCCCTTTTTAACTTTTGTAAATGATAAATGATCAAAAATAAATAAAGGAAGTGGGCACAGTGGCAGTGAAGGTGTCTGATTTGGGGACAGGGTAAGGCCTTGGAGGTGGGGATCCTCTAGGGTGACTGGAGTCTCAGGTCTGTCTCCCCTCCAGTCCCCCAGGACTCTTGAAGTCTTGAAGCTCTCACCTCCACCCCGCCCCCCATCTCCAAATGCACCCCAAGGAATGGTGCCTGTTCCCCTTAGCTGGGACACAGCACCTTTGTTCCAGCCCCTCCACCCCTCACAGTCCGGCTCAGGCCTGGATTAGCTTTATCCAAGAGAAGCCAGGAGCCCCTCCTGGAATGTGACCTGGGGCTGAGGAGGGAGCAATGGTGTATGGAAGTGACTTGACAGGCTGGGTCTCTTCAGGGTACCACTTTGCCCCCAGCCCCAGATTACAACCCCCCCCCACACACAAGGAAGGGCTTTGTACCCCTGCCAGAAGGACCCAGGAGGTGAAGGAGGGTCTCCTTGCCTGTTGTCCCACTGGGTCAGTTCTGCTGGCTCATGGTCACTTGTGCCCAACTCCCTTACTGGTAAAAGCCTCTTAGCGGGGGTGGGATGAGGGGACTCTAAGTCCCAGGCCTGGAGAAGTTGTTTATTCGGCCAGAGTGCAGCCATAGTAGCCAAGGCTGTAGGAATCGGTATCTTCCAGCCTCACGGAGCTCAAAGAAGCACCTCCTTGCAGGCTTCAGGAGATGTGAGTCTGGACCCTAAATCCAGAGTCAGGTCCAGGTGAGTGTGCGGTGAGGGCTGTCAGGGGCCAGTTGTCTCTGTGTTCATAACCATGCAGAGGGGAGCAGGTAAGAAAAGTCAGAACTGGGAGCTGGGGGAGGGACCTTTAAGGGCTTCCCTGGGCCTCCCACTCTCCTGTTCCGTGGCAGATGCTATAGGACTTGGGAACCCCTGCCTAGGGATGGAGGGCCTAGGTTGTGAACTGCTGGGGCTCAGGTCTCTCTTCCAGAGCCCTTTCCTCTTCCCCAAGGTTTCCAGCTGGTGTACAGGTGCTCACTCAGCCATCCTACTGGTGGGGAAACTGAGGCTCAGCCGGGAGAGGAGACTTTGCAGGGCAGACTCCTTCCAGAACGGGAAGGACCAGCTGCACCAAAGGCTGCTGAGACAAGGCCAGTATGTCCTGCTGTTTTAATCATGACCTGTTCCTGGTCACAGAGGAAAGTTAGGACAAGCTGGAGGGCCACTACCGCTGGCAGTCACCCCACTGGCTGATTGGCTCGCCTGTCCACAAACCTATATGTATTCATGGTGACACTGACAGTCCCCCTACACACACCACACACACACACACACACACACACACACACACACATCACAGTGGCTGCTGGGCTCTGACACTCACTGCACCCCTTCCCCTGCCATTACTAGGTCCCAGGAGGTGAGAAGCCCTAGCGAGGAATCCTTGAAGTCAAGTGTGCACTCACCCTTCACAGGCCTTTGCAGGAAGGTGGGGAGACTCGGGGTGGCCTTCCTACCTTGCTGGCTCTGTAACCCTGAAAGGGCTCTGTGGGCTGCATGGGGCTGTTTCTCCTTGCAGGTCTCAATTCATTTCTCTACAGCACCCACCACTGCCTTTTGTCCCCCCTCTTTCCCAGCAGAGGTAGAGGCAATGGGCGCTGGAGGCCCACGACGGGGTGCAGGCCCCCCAGATGGTGGCTGGGGCTGGGTGGTGCTGGGCGCCTGCTTCGTGATCACCGGCTTCGCCTACGGCTTCCCTAAGGCCGTGAGCGTCTTCTTCGGAGAACTCAAGCGCGACTTTGGTGCAGGTTACAGTGACACAGCCTGGGTGTCCTCCATCATGCTGGCCATGCTCTACGGCACGGGTCAGCACTCCTCCCAGAGCCTCCTGGGGTCTAGCACCTGGGGTAGAGGCTCTAGAGCCTTAAGAGGCACCGCCCCGCCCCCACCTTCGTTGGGGCCTGGACCCTAGGAAAGAGTGAGTAGGGCATATAGATGGAAATGGAAACCCGCTCCTACTGCTGGCCTGGAGGGGTTGGGTTCATTCCTGCCAGCAAACCTACACTGGGCTACATCAGCCCGAAGAAGCATTCCAGCTCCCCGCAGCCCCAATGCTGGAGTTTTGGGAGGGTGGGAGCCTTCAGGAGGATGGCAGTCTGGTGGTGGGCAGAGGTGAAGAGTGGAAGCCATCTTTCCTACTTTGGTTCTCAAGAGGGTAAGAGATGGGTGACCACTAGACAGACAGACAGACACACAAACACAAACACACACACCACCCTGTCTGCCCAGTCAAGCTGTGTGACTCAACCACAATGCCCTCTTTGTCTCTGAAGGGGCTGGGAGGGGGAGAGTTAAATACCCCTTCAAGCTCTTTCAGATCTCAGAAGTACAAGGCAAGACCTAGCACATTTTCTGGAGGGGAGATTGGTCTAACCTGGACGGTGACCCTACTCTGCCCACAGGCCCCTTGTCCAGCATCCTCGTGACACGCTTTGGCTGTCGCCCGGTGATGCTGGCTGGCGGGCTCCTGGCTTCCGCGGGCATGATCCTGGCTTCCTTTGCCTCGCGCCTTCTGGAGCTGTACCTGACTGCTGGGGTGCTCACAGGTGAGGACACCCGCGTCTCTCCCCTGCAGGAACGTGGGTACAAGTCGGGAGTTCCTGCTGCAAGTCTCTCAGCCCCAGTTTCCCTCAAAGGGGCGACCCCTGAGTCTCTTGGCTCACTCTCCCGGTTTCGAACTTACCCTCCTGATCCTGGCCCAGCCTGGCCCTGCCACTGAGGCCAGAAGCGGCACTCCAGCTGTGTCGCCTCGCCCGCAGGACTGGGCCTGGCCCTCAACTTCCAGCCATCGCTCATCATGCTGGGACTCTACTTCGAGCGGCGACGTCCCCTGGCTAACGGACTGGCAGCGGCGGGCAGCCCGGTGTTCCTGTCCACGTTGTCGCCGCTCGGCCAGCTGCTGGGGGAGCGCTTCGGCTGGCGCGGCGGCTTCCTGCTGTTTGGCGGCCTCCTGTTGCACTGCTGCGCCTGCGGGGCCGTCATGCGGCCACCACCAGGGCCCCCGCCTCCACTTCGCCCAGATCCCGCGGAGGACCGCGCGCCCGGCGGCGGCCGGGCTCGCCGCCGCCTGCTAGACGTGGCGGTGTGCACCGACCGCGCCTTCATAGTGTACGTGGTCACCAAGTTCCTGATGGCACTTGGGCTCTTCGTGCCCCCCATCCTGCTGGTGAACTATGCCAAAGATGCGGGCGTGCCTGACGCTGAGGCCGCCTTCTTGTTGTCCATCGTGGGCTTCGTGGACATTGTGGCGCGGCCGGCGTGTGGTGCCCTGGCGGGCCTGACACGCCTGCGACCCCACGTCCCCTATCTCTTCAGCCTGGCCCTGCTGGCCAACGGGCTCACGGACCTGATCAGCGCTCGTGCGCGCTCCTATGGCACCCTCGTGGCTTTCTGCATCGCTTTCGGCCTCTCCTACGGCATGGTGGGCGCGCTGCAGTTCGAGGTGCTCATGGCGACCGTGGGTGCGCCCCGCTTTCCCAGTGCGCTAGGCCTGGTACTGCTCGTGGAGGCCGTGGCTGTGCTCATAGGACCGCCCTCTGCCGGTGCGCACCGTAGGAGAGGGGTAGCTAAGTCTGGGAGCTGTTAGTATAAAGGAAGCCCTTAAGGACGACCTTCCAGGGATGAGGGGCAGGCAGGCCCTTTTGCTGGAAAGCCTGGTTGGTGGACTCCCTCTACGACCAGGTAGTTCCTCCTCTAGGGACCACCCCCAGGGGGGATGAGGATGGAAAAGCCAAAGGTCAGTCTCAAGAAGAAATACACAAACAGCCAAGCATCTTATGCATGTCAGTCTTCTCAAGCAGGTAACAGGAAGGCCTTGTGCAAGAGCAGTAAGGCTGGGGAGCAGGTTAGATTCGGAAGCTTAGCCCAAGTTGTAGACCCGGATCTGCCCCTGCAGAGAGCTAACCTGGACCAAATGTGTGTGGATGCTTTAGTCCAGGCAGCCTGTAAGCAGTACAGGGAATCAGCCCTGACTAGGGGCACAGAAGGGGTGCTCAGATGACAGCTGGAGAGGAGAGGTGCTAGTGCCCCAGCACCTGTCTGCCAAGCCTTCTGCTCATCCTGGCATAGTTCAGTGGGTGAGGGCACAGTGTGAAGGGGCTGTTGCTGGGGGGAAAGTGTCACTGTAAAACTGAGGGCTGAGCTAAGACAGGAAAGGTAGAGGTGGGGACCCCGACATCTTCCTGAGTTGTCTGATTGTCCCGAGGCTCCAGAGAACCAGCCTTAAGTAAGAGAGAGAGAGGCCACAGTCAGGCTTCAGAAGTGAATGGTGGAGCCCAGGCTGCAGCAGAGATGAGTAAGCTGCCATCTTTTCCTTCAGAGCCAGCCAGATGGCAGAGTGTCTAATGCAAGCTTTGTCTTCCTGCTTCCCAATAAGAAAGGCAAAGCCCCCGAGTCAATGTGTGGGTACCCTCTCTCAAGCCCACCACCCCAAGAGCCTCAAAGCTGGCCCTCCTGGAAGCCCAGGGACCACCTACTGTTGGGTGGACCTAGTAGGAAAAAATGCAGTGAAGGGCACTCCAAAACTGCGTACGGCCGGAGACAGGACTGGCTGTCAAGTTATGGTCATCAGGAAACTTCCCAAAGACCACAGCCTGGTGTGGACAAGGGAATGGTGTAGACAAGTCTAGAATGAAGCCCATGGAAGAAAACACAGATTGGGCATGTCACCCTGAGCTGTCTTAGCACGTGTGATGTCCTGGGTTCAGTCCCCCACAACAGAACTAGAGATTCCCCTCCCCCCCATATGGAGATACTGTGTCCAGGAAGGGATATGAGTCCCACTTCCCAGCCTGTGCTCAGGTGCCTCACCAGCTCCATTTGGATACCTTGCAGCTCCTGATGAGGATGCTGAGCCAAAGCCCTATAGACCAGGTTATGTAGAAAGAGCTGGGAGTCCTTACTGCTAGCCAGGGTTATGCCAGGTCCAGCTACACTGCTACCCTAACACCCACAAGTGGGCCAAGTCGCTGTAGGCTTGCATTGATGTGAAGGGGGAACCTCATAGACTATAAAAGCATCTTCAGAAGCATTAGATTGAGGATCAGGGAGGGGAAGTGACATTCTGGGCCTCACAAGAAAGGATCCATGTGGAGTTCTGCATTTGCAATCAGGAATAAAGCCAGGGCATATGTGTATTACCAATAAGTCCCACCCAGTTAGTGTAGAGAAGACCCTGACAGGTTGTGACACAGCTCCCCTCCCCTCCAGGCCGCCTGGTGGATGCCCTGAAGAACTATGAGATCATCTTCTACCTTGCTGGCTCCGAGGTGGCCTTGGCTGGAGTCTTCATGGCAGTCACCACCTACTGCTGCCTGCGCTGCTCTAAGAATACCCCAGCGGGTCCAGCTGCTGAGCGGGGAGCCGGTGACACCGACGATGTGGATGCTGAGAGGGATTCTGAGCCAATGCCTGCCAGCACTCAGGAGCCTGGCAGCCTGGAGGCTCTGGAGGTGTTGAGCCCCAGGGCTGGGTCCCAAGAACCCAAACCAGAGGTGGAAACAGTGCCTGGGCTGGGTCATGAGTCTGTGTAGACATCAGGCAGATGGTCAGCAGGCATGACAACATGGCTTTCCCTCTGAGGGCCTGGCTCATGGGGAGGCAGCCTGGGGTGATCCACTGGATACTCCATCTGCAAGGCCATTCATTTCCAGTGAAGTTGTGGGCTGACAGGAGCACATGTTGATAAAGGAACTCTATTAACTGAAAGATATATCCTGCTCCTGTGCCTGCCAGGGTGGGGGCAAGAATAGCCAGAAGGGTCTCCACAAGGTCCCCTGAGCCATTGGAGTCCGTAAGGAATGGCACTAGGTAGAAACACTGGGGGCTGGCGGTAGAGGGGATGCTATATACTGAAGGCCATTTGGCCGCCATCTGCATGAGGCACAGGGTCAGGGGCAGAGACCGACCCTGGGTCTTCTTCCCGTGCAAATTTCACAATCAGTTCCAGAGAGCATGGGAGCCAGGTGGTCAGCAACAAAACCTCAGAGGCCCTCAAGGTGTGCATGTCCCCTCGCTGCCCTGAGCCACCCCTCCCCCAGAGGACATTCTAGTGACCCATCACTTTAGTCAGAGCACTACTCCTGATGACACGGCTTTGTGTGCCATCGGTGGCCCTGGCACCTGCTCTCTCCCTCGGGGACTTGTAGGCCATGACCTCTTTCAACTGGAGATTCCTCCTCAGTCACCCAAGTGCCACACCTGGCGCGTGCACTCTGACCCATGTGAGGGTTTTCCTGTATCACTCTTCTAGCTAGGAGACCTCAATGGAGTTTCTACCACAAATGGTCCCTTCCCACCTACTGGTCCCAGCAGGGCCTCATTTCCATCCGAGGTTTGGGGAACCCAGGCAATGCTCAGTTGCTTACGCTCACCTATGGCTTCCAGACTCCAGAAGGGACAACATTTTATCTAAGCATTTTCCTGAGAGTGCTTTCTTGGCCAAACACTGTTCTAAACCCTTTATGTTAGCTTACTGATTCTCCTAAACCCAATGAAGTAGAATTTATCCACACTTCAGACAGGGAAACATGCATCAGCCCTGGGTTGCACAGAGGCCATTACTGGGTCCGGAGCTGTAGTTTGTTTGGTTGTTGTTGTTGTTGAGACAGGGTTTCTCTGCAACAGCTCTAGCTGTCCTGGAACTCACTTCATAGACCAGGCTGGCCTTAAACTCACAGAGATCCACTTGTCTCTGCCTCTCGAGTGCTGGGATTAAAGACATGTGCCACCATGCCCGGCTTCAAGCTGTAGGCTTTGATCTGTGCCCTTGACCATCAACTGATGTCTCTTGGGAGATGCAGTGCGGCCAGACAGCTGCTGGGCCCCATGTGGGTGGATGGTGACAGGTCATCTCCCTCCACCTCCAGCGCCTTCCTGAGAATCCTACCTGGTTTCTGCAGGACTGCAGAGCTCAAAGCCACAAGCAAAGGTGCTTTTCCATCTTGGACCTCGCCACCTTGCATCTTCCTTGCCTGTTCTGTCCTCAAGACAGCCACATCCCCTGTCCTAATGGGCATTGCAGAGTAAACGAGTTGCAGGTGTGTACCATACCCAGCCAGGCAGAGTAGCCAGGCAGACTATCGCCTAAGGGCGACAGCATCTCCCTAGCGCCCCCTGCGCCCTGAACTCAGCAGGCACTCCTGGAGTAGTCTTCCCTGAGCAGTGAGTGTCTAACAAAGGTTTACTTCACAACCAGCAACAGAGGGTTGAAGGGAGAAGAGGGGAGCAGGTGACAGTCAAGGCTTTGGGACCTGTAGACTCAAGCTCAGGTCCCACTGTTCTCATGTACGGTCCTGAGCCTCTCAATCCCAGATGCTACGGGAGCAAGAAAGCTGCTCTTGCAGGTGCTGCGAGAGATGAGTGATGGACACAGAGAGAGCTGCCTAAGCCTGTGTCCCATGCTCCCTCATGACCAGAAGGCAGTTGAGATCTGGTTGCAGAGGGTCTGAGCCATTGCAAGGAGCCCGTCCTTTCTGTCTGGGTTTCTGTTTATTCAATACAGGCCCAGCATTCAGTCCTTGAGGCTAAGTCAGGAACAAATAAATATAGGCTGCCAAGGTGTGCATGTGGACTCCAGGGGCCGGCCTCGTATGCTGGCCCCAGCCTCGGATGTCCACCCAGCTCCTGTTCCCTGCAGGCTTGGCACCACCGAGGTACTCACAGGGACAGGTCCTGCGCTCGGCCTGCTCCAGCCCCTCCTCTTTTCTGTCCAAGGCCCAGCTCTCCCTCCAGTTGGGAGGTGGGAAGGAAGGATGGGGGCCAGAGTCCAGGTCCCAGACTGCAGCCTGGGTTCACTGTGCAAGGACAGAGGAGCAGGGAGGCAGGCGCCCCAAGTCAGCAGGCTTTTATGCGCCACCACACGCCTTCGCTGTCCTACAGTGGCCCTGCCCCACTCCCCGCTGCGGTCCTCCCAATGCCCTGCCCCCCAGGTTCACTTGAGGGGGCACTCAGGAGTCACACCAGCTTCCGCCCTTGTCCATGGGCCCAGTGGCCCCACGTGCATCCTTGGACACTTCCCTAGCTGCCCCATCCTCCTCATCCTCGTCCTCATCCTCTCCATCAGTGAAGCCGCCCTGGGCAGGGCCATAGGCTAGAGTGGTGTGTGCCAGGTCCACCTCAATGGGGAAGACGTCGGCGTCCCGCAGCACTGCATAGCAATCGTTGTAGTACTTGGACATGGTGGACACGAAGCGCTGCAGCTGGAACACGATGTCCTGGACTGGGGCAGGAGGTGAGCAGACAGGTCCAGTGGCTATGGCTGCCTCCTTAGGGAAGATCTAGAGCTGGCCTGTCCTTCCTGCTGGGACAGGAAGATCTAGAGCTGGCCTGTCCTTCCTGCTGGGGCACTTACTGGGACCCCTGGTCTTAGGACGGGTGGAAAAGGGCATAGAAAAAAGGCTTCCTGGCCCTGCCTAGTTGGCCATCTAGTCCTCCAAACTCCTAGCCCAGGAAACAGAGAAGGCTGCCTGAGTGAGTAGATCACGGACCCAGGCCCTGGCCTCAACCCAGCCAGGTTCTGGGTGGACTCCTACCAGGACCTGGTCCTGGGGCCTCAGGGAGACTACCCTCTCTAGGCCTCATCTCTGATCCAGGGACAGAATGGCACCCACCTCGGGGCTAAGTGCCAGGAAAGGACTAATGGGTAGTGCACAGGCCTCTAGTGCCCCTCACCATGCTTCTGGTCCAGCAGCTCCATCTTCTCCAGCACATCCTTGCGCATCTGGGAAAACCGGGCTCGAGCCTCCTGGCGGCAGCGCAGGATCAGGCGGTACTCATAGTTGCCTGTGCTCACTCGGTATAGGGGCTCTCCTAGGGCCTGCAGCAGGCAAGCCTGTCAGCTCTCTTGGGTGGACCTTGGCCTCCCAGGGACAGATGGGGCTGGAAGGCTGCAGGGCTGGTCCAGCTCATGGCTGTACCACAGTGGCCCTTCAGATGCCAGTGACAGACAGAAGCTCAAAACAGTAACTTAAGAGGGAGAAATATCAACCATAGAAACACAAACACAGCTCACATGAAATAAATATTGGTCAAAAGATGGACCCTGACTGCAAACAAGTCACAAACTAGAAACAAAAACAAGGAAAAACCACCAGGGGCTGGAGAGTGGCTCGGTGGTTAGGAGTCCTCGCTGTTCCCAGAATCCACGACTGTCTGTCATTTCTGACCTCCACAGATGCCAGTCATGCAAATGGACACACACCTTTAATCCCAGCACTCAGGAGGCAGAAATCCAGGTAGGTGGATCTCTGTGAGTTCGAGGCCAGCCTGGTCTACACGAGCTAGTGCCAGGACAGGGTCCAAAGCTACAGAGAAACCCTGTCCTCGAACCTGCCCCCTAAAAAACCAAACAAAAAACAAAACAAAACAAAAAAAGCAAATGGACACGCACACATATAAAACACTCATGTATATAAAAACAAAATATACCAACTTTTTTTAAAAACCAAAGAGTAGCTCAGAAGTGAAATCAGTAAGCTTTTTTCTACAGGAGCCTCACAACCTTGGGGTACCTGGCCTAGAGAATACTGGGGAGTCAGTCACTTCATGACAAACTATCTGGTACTCCAAGCCAGAAGAGCTGGTAGAATGGGCTGACAGCCCCAAACTCTAGGAACTAAGACCCCAGGATGCCCAACACACTCAATACTCTGGCAGACCTAGAACCCTCTGAAGGGGCAGTGTGGGCACCCCAAGCCCTCCCAATACCAGCCTGGGCCCCTTCGGTACTCACAATGCAGCTGTATTCCTCATCGTCCATCTCCTTCACCTTTAGACAGTAGGACTGTATGGGATGGAATGGATGAGGCCAGGAAGTCAGTGGCCAACCTTCCTGGATTCCCATCCTCACAATTCCAGCTCCCCCTACCATGCCTCCCTATGCCCTCAGGTCACCTGGGAACCTGGACACATCAAAAGAACTGCAGCCATACATGTCGCCTAGCTCTGGACCACCTGAGAAAGACTGGAAGCAGATACGGACAGAGGCCCAGGAAAGGGGTAGCAGAGGGATGAGGCACTCCCCTGGGGGTACAGGACTGAAGGCTTGAGAAATCCAAAAGCAGCTCTGGGGATTGGAGGGTGAGGCTCAGCGGTACAGTACTTGCCTCACATGCATAAGGGCTCTAGCTCCAGAAGAGCAAAGATCCAAAACCAAAACCAAAACCAAAAGGTACTGTGTGGCAGTGCCAGCAGAGCAAAGGAGCTTAGGAGCTTCTTGAAGGCATGCTGTGCACAGGCCTAGTCAAGGCTCTGAGAAGTGCCCCAGCAAAAGCCCGAATACTTAACAGCTCATTCTCTTGGCTTCTTTGACAATCTGATTATCATTTAGGACTCCGAATGTCCTCTGAAGTATCCCAGACCTAGTCTGAGCCGCTGCTAAGGAGCTCAGGGGCAGAAATGACAGAGAATGAGAGCTTTCCTGCTCCCAGGTTCTAGGTAGCTCCAAGCTCCCCTGGTTTGGAAATTCAGAGTCTAGGCTGCTTCTGATGTGTCAGGCCTTCAATCCCAAACTCCTGACTCAACAGAGATCTGACCCCATTCTGCCTGCCAGGGCATGGCTACTGGCCTCAGGGCTGGCCTCCAGGGTGAATGCACTGCGGCTGGCCAGACACTGCAGACCCTCACTAGGGACTTGAACTTCACATTCAGACCGGGCAGACACTCACCAGGGACTCGAACTTCACATCCAGATACTGCAGACACTCACCAGGTACTCGAACTTCACATCCAGGTATTTTTTGATGGTGAGGCGCGTATCAGGGATGGCTTTATTGAGGTACGTGTTCAGGTCCGTCAGCATCTAAGAGGTTGGGTGACAAACGGCACAGATGTGTTAAGGGTATAAGACTATGTCAGGTCAAAGGCACATTGTGACCCAGCAGTCTTGAGGTCAACAGGAATGCAGGAAGGCACAGTTACTGATGGCTGGCTGGCCACAGAGGTGATCAAGCTAGTGTCTGCATCCAGCACCTGACTCCAGCCCAGAACCCCTCCTGTGCTAAGCTGTCCCTCCTGCTCTGGCCAGTGGGGCATGCTACACTCTGATGGACCCACCGGTTTGATGGTTTTCAGGAGCCGAATGCCAAACTTCTCAATGCTGCGGTGTGCATCAGCAAACTTCACGAATGCCTCACTTGCTGCTGGCTGCGGCTCCCGCACCCCAATCACAGAGAACACGTCCCCAAAGGCTGCATGACAAGTTTGCCTTGAAGCCCCCACTTGACCCCCTAATGGAGAAGCCAGGGGCTTGCTGGGCAGCAGGACAGGGGCATGATGAACAGAAAGCCCAGGTCTGCTTGAAGGGCTTACATTCGGAGGAGGTACATCTTCAGGAGGCCTGAACCATACTCCCCAGGAGCTGCATCCTCATTCTGAGCTTAGGCTCTTTGGGGAGCTAGCTTTTGTCCCCCCAACCGACCAGACAAAAGAAAAGGCTAAGTGAAAATCTATGGTGGTCATGCCAGGCGAGAGTAGAGTGCCAGGCTGAGAATCTGGACCCCTGGGTTCAAATGCCAGCTCTCCAACCTTGAGCCCTGGCCACACTTCCTGTCTGGGCTTCATTTCCTCGCCAGTAAATGGGGTTGTATCTTTCCTGCCCACATGGAACTGGAGAG